CCCCTCCTGTCTGACCTCACAGGAGCAGCAGCGCTGACCATTGCAGGACTGTCACCTGAATGGTTTCCCTTCTGCATATAACCTTGGAACATGTTTCTTCCTCTAGGTCAGCCCGTGTGGGAGCTGTGAAGCCCTTAGAGGGGTAGCCTCAGGAGCAGCTCACGCTGCCTTTCAGAATTGCAGGTGTTATTAATATTGGAGACAGAGATGAAGAAGAGGCAGTAATACTTGTCTGGAAGGATTGTTTGGATCAAATAGAGCATGTGTGTAATGCTGCCTCAGAGCTCAGAACACTACAGGGTGGCACTCAGTTCACATTGCCACCTTTTTCCTTCCATTTCTGTATCTTAACTTCTGCACACTCCTCTGTATCTTCTGGCCTTTCTTCTTATCTGAGCCGTTGTGGCAGCCTCCTTACTGGTTCCCCACCTTGTGCTAGTTTGTTCTTCCTTGTCTTCACCCCCCAAACCCCTGCCCAGTGCTTCCGGTATCTTGAGTTCTCCTTATATCATAAAGTGTGTGAATAAAAAATAAAAGGAAAGAGAAAAGAACTCAAGAATCTGTCTTATAACATGATGGAAACCCACCTACTATAAAACATCTAACAGTGATAGCGATTTTAAAATAATTTTTAAATGAAGGAATGCATGATACAAGGGAAATGCTGTGAGGGCAGGAACAAAGCGTGAGTACAAATCTAGAGAGGTGCAGGGACACAGGCTGCCAAACCTGAAGGGACATTCTGGATCTGGGTGACCTGCCAGTCTGCAGGTCAAATCACACAGCCACTAAGCACACAAGGAGGAGATGCATTGGGTGCAGTGAGAAGTCTGCATGAGTGCTAGGAGGTTTCCTTAGTGGAGACCATGGGGAAGAGACAGTATTCAAAGATGTTCTGACAGCAGTTTGTTCAAAACGATACCCAGGAAGTCCGAAGAACACCAAGCTGTGCGAAGGAAAAGAAACCTGTACTCAGACATTACATTTAGACTCAGAGTAGGCATCCTGATGATGATGGTAGCCAAAAGGTAATAAAATAGTGGCTTCATAAGAGAGAATAATTGTTAACTGGGGATGTTTTATGAGATAGAGACATTGTTATAAAAACAAAAGTAGAAGACTCACCAAAACACCCCCACTAAAGGAACTTCTAAGAATAGACTTCAAGAAGTAAGAAAATGGTTAGCAAAGAAATAACAAATTAAAGCATCAGAGTAGATCTATATAGAAGGTAGTGGGGTCACTATTGTAGCACAGTGAAGCCACCATGTGTGATGCTGGCATCCCGTTTTAGAGAGCCAGTTCAAGTCCCAGCTACTCTGCTTCTAGTCCAGCTTCCTGCTAAGGAGGGAGACTGGGATGGGCTTCCTGGCTTCTGGCTTCCGCCTGGCACAGACCTGGCTGTTGCAGGCATTTGGGGAGTAAATGAACCAGTGAATGGAAGATCTATCTCTCCCTCTATGTCACTCTGCCTTTGAAATAAATTTTTTATATCTTTAAAAATAAATAGACATTAGCAGTTTATGTCTTTTTCAGTAGCACTTAACAAAAAAGAATAATGAAAGTGTTTAGTCTAGTAATTAAGTACTCCCACGTTCCAGTGGAGTGTCTGGGTTCAAGACCCGAATCTTCCCTGATTCCAGCTTCCTGCTGTGGCAGACCGTGGGAGGCAGTAGGTGATAACTTGAGTAGTTGAGTTCCTGCCATGTACGTCAGAGACATGGGTGGAGTCCCCAACTCCCAGCTTCAGCCTGGGCCCAGTGTGGGTACTTAGGGAGTGAACGAACAGATGGGAACTTTCTGTGTGTCTCCCTATCTGTCTTTCTCTGCCTCTCAAATAAACTTTCAAAAGAAAAGGATAATGTCATAGACACCATTGTCAAACAAGGCTAGAGGTACTCATTGTATTTAAAATATTCCAAGGTCTTATATTTTCAAGAAGGAAAGTAATTGTCTTTGGACTTTTAAATATGCCAATGAAACATTACTGTAAATGCACAGACTAGCAAATAAAATGCTATCTTTTTATCAAGTTCAGTAATTACCTTCCCAGAGTAGATATTTGTTAAATACATCTGCATACCAACTGCTGGCCACCATTGTGATGATACAGTGTCAGTTGTATGTGCTGTGAATTTAAGTCATTCTACTACTACTACTACTACTGTTAAACACAAAGCTCTTTGCCAGTGGAAGGGCAGCAGTAGCAGCACCAATGTGTGGTTCCAAAGTCAGAGACCCACCCTGGCCCACTCCGGGGCACAGTGGTCCTTTTACTCTCCACATTCCACGTGTTTGCACCAACACTGTCTTGTTTGTAAAATGCAGTCATGATATTACTTTTCTCTTGGCAGTGTGGTGTGAGCACTTTTATGGCACACTGGCTGTGTTATGTGGAGCCCTAACTGCTAAATTATCTTGTTGAGAGTGTTAAAGGTTGTTTCATTAACGTCTTAAACAACTAAATTGTAATTGACCAGAGACAAGGTTGTTTAACACTTCTGATGGCGATGGAAAAGTAGTGTCCTGGGGAGGCTTAATGCCCCCTGGCTCTGGCTTTTAAGATTACATTTCACTTGGAGCACTCTTTTTCTAGAAGGTTTAGTGCAATAGTGATGAATAATTGTTAGCATGTATGTGGATTCATATATTTCTACTTCCAAAGCAGAAAAATAGATTTATGATCTTTGAACTGAAAGGATCTCAAGATGCTACTAAGCTACCCTTAGGGCTTCAGGGAAAACATTTAGACTCCAGGTCCTATGTACCTCCTGTGTGGGGAGCAACTGGGAGCAACTCGGACTAGACTAAGTTACTGGAATTAAGACTTATTCTATGCATCTGCTCTCCCACAATATGGCGCTGGGAGAGGAGGAAACAGCTTCTACACAGCTGCCTCCAGTTCAACCAATAAACTGTAGGACCTGCTCCTGATTGGAGGAGAGCAGCGTACTCGGCGTGTGGGTAGCAGAGTTGGGATTGGTGGAAGAGGACTATAAAGGAGGAGAGAGACAACATGCACGAGGAATATCTAAGGGGAGCATCTATCTGAAGGAACACCTGTGCAGCCCCCGAGAGAGCCGGCCGGCGGTGTGCCGCTCCCCCACGGAAGTGGGGAAAGTGGCAGGGGGAACCGCCCCTCCACGGAGGTGGAAGGGACGGTAGCCAACCTGGGAAGAACCAGCAGCAAACCCGGGGAGGGCTGAGCAGACAAAAGAACAGCGCAGGGTCCTGTGTCATTCCTCCACGAAGAGGGGGAGCGACACTCCTGTAGAGAACACAAGAGTTTTCTGGAAATTTCCATCCAGCATTGGAGGTAGAGTGGCTTGTCTTAGAGGGTGTGAGGATGGGTTTAAGACAAAGGGTCTTAGAGCAGACTTGCTGGTCTGCATTCTGGTCTGGGGCCTCCTCCCTACTGGGCCACAGCTGAGTCTGCTTTGCTCTGTGGCAGCTTCCACCACCAGGTTCACTTCTGAATGCATAGTTCTCGTGTGCACGGTATCAGAACTGGAGATCTCTTGGACAATATGCTAAATATTTATTATATATTTGATTTCTGGACCTCTGTTCATACTGATAACTTTTTTTCCCTGTAAATGAGATTGTGGCATGCTTTTTGTGTGTGTGTATGTGGTCATATATTTTTGGGTATACACTCTTAAACCTTACCTAGTGGAAACAGAAGGGATGATATTTTTTATTTCCCCTGGAAACCTGCAGGGCGGATGTTTGAGTCCTTTCTTGGCAGGTGGATATCTCAGCATGGTGTTGGCAGGAACACCTGTGTTCTGTCAAGAGCTGTTCACCTAGTTCTAAGCCCAAGAATTTGTATTTGGTCAAAAGAGATGTAAAGGATCTGCTCAAGAATCATGTACTTCTTAATTTAACCAGGAATGTAAGTTTAAGATGGGCTAAAGACAGCCAAATGTCTGACAAAGCAGTGTCAGTAAATGGAGTTCTGTTTGGGCAGACATATTTAGGAAAGTGACATTCAGGCTCTAACGTGTTCCAGTTACAGATTTCAGCTGTGTTAAGATTAAAGCTAAGTAATAAACAATTTTGCTAATCTGTTTTTGCTTTGTGATTATTTATAAGAGTTTACATAAGTGAATAGAGAAATTCTTTATATAAAGGTAATTCCAGAAATTCATGGAAAGTAGAATTTAAAGATAAGCATATTTTTAAGCAAAAAATTTTGAAACCCGTGAAGAGATTTTTCATATGACACATTTTGTATCAACTTTTTGAAGACCCTCCTTACTCCAGAAAAATGTGAAATAGGAATGAAAAGACTTCTGAAAAAAAGTGAATTCATTTGGAGAAATGTTGTCTTGGCATCTGATGTCTACCTTGGGCTGTCCTACATTCTGTGCCTTCCAGAGATGAAGGATGCCTCCTCTCAAGCTACTCACAGTCCAGTGAAAGAGATAATTAGCCAAAAAAAAGTTTTAAATTACATCTAGTCAAGGTCCGCAACAGAAATGCCAGGTTGCCACAAGTGTGATAATAAAGTTATAACCCAGTCGCAGGCCCTGGGGAGAAATGCCAGGAGTGGTCCTTTCACTATTTTATGATCCCTGGAAGCCATAGAAGTTCTGTCACAGGAGCCTTGTAGCTCTCCCTTGGGTCAATGTGGATATCCAGCGTGCCCGTTGCTTTCCAGGCCTGTGGGCCACCTGTGCTGGATGCACAGCCCTGCTGCTGGCTTGGTTCTGGCCTCTTCTCTCAGCTGTGTGAACAGGAGCAGGTCACTTCTCTGTGCTTCTGTTTTATAAAAAGAGCAGAGTCATAGCCCAACATGGCAGGATTATGGGAGTATTAAATAACACGTGGAAAGTGTTTTTAGTCAGGTGCACTGTATGTTTCAAGACAAATTTAGTTTTTATTTTGGAATCCAGTAGATCAGAAATATTGAAATATGCTCACTATATTGATCATTTAGATTCTCTTTCTAAAATACTAATTCTGTTATGTAAAATTTTATTTTTCCCCCTTTCTAGCTCCAAGAGGAAAGCGAGGATGGAAAACCTTTTATGCTGTACTGAAGGGAACAGTTCTTTACTTGCAAAAGGTAAAAGTAAATTAGATAAGAACTAAAATCCACAAAACGTTATGAGCCAATAATTAAACAAGGTGCCCAATGAAATAATCCACTTCGTGCAGAGAAGCCATATCAAACAGCTAGAACTGGTTGTTTAATTGAGGTTTAAATTATTCCTTTTTGTTTGTTTATTTTGATGAAAAATTTAGCTTTACATATGCAATACATACACACAGGTACACACACACATGTACTTGATCAGAGGAATGATGAACTATATTCTAATTATGTCTGTGCAGGTTCAGATTTGTGGCAGCACCTGGTTCAGTGGATATTGATTAATTTAGCCTTTATTATTCTATCATAATTTTTATCCTACTTAAAACTAGACATGCATTTTTATTCAAGTTCTGAAGCATTTCTACTTGACAATGTGACGGTATTCCAAATTACCTAGTAGGTAAATGGGTTTGACCAGAACATTGTCTGTCTGCCAGTCTCAGAATGTGAGAATCTGTTTAGGATCCAGCTCATTGGTTCTGGCCTTTGTGGGGAGGAGTGTCTTGTCCTTCCACCTCCCTTGCTCAGTGTGTTGACTAGAAAGTCTTAACACAAACAGTCAACCACATCCAGGGATCAGTGTGATGGCAGCTCCTGCTGTGAAGAGGCAGGCACTGAATCAGGGCTAAGAGGAAGCAGGCAGAAGAAATACTCCTCTTGGTGGTGTCTACTAGGAAAATGCCTTCTTTAATTGTGACAAAATCATCTGTTGTCTTACATTTTAAAATATACGGTACAGTGTTGTTAACTATAGCACAATGCTATATTTTTTCATCTTGTGTTACTGAAACTATACACTTTGAATGGCAATAATCTTACCCTCCCAACTTGTTTTGGCCCCTGGCAACCACCATTCTACTTTGCTTCTATCAATTTAACTGTTTTTGATAACCTTGTGTAAATGGAATCATACCCTTCTGTGACTGCTTTATTTCAGCATAATGTCCCAAGGTTCAGTCTCATTGTAGCTTGTGTCAGAATTCCCTTCCTTTTTAATGCTGAACAGTATTATATGTATATATACCACATTTTCCTTATCTGTTCAAGTAGTTTTTTTCCACCTCATGGTTGTTACGAATAATACAATGAACATGGAGTACTAATACTTCTTTGAGATCCTAATTTTATCTCTCTTGGATTAATGCCTAGAAATGGGATTGATGGATTATATGGTCTCTCTGGTTTTAATTTTTTTGAGGGATCGCCATTCCATTCTCCAAAACAATTGCACCACTTTGTGTCCCAGCAGTACATAGGGTTCCAGTTTGCCCACATCCTCACCATACCAACCTTTTCTCCTCCCTCCCTCCCTCCCTCCCTCCCTCCCCTCCCCCTCTTCTCCCCTCCTTCCTTCCTTCCTTCCTCCCTCCCTCCCTCCCTCCCTCCCTCCCTCCCCTCTTCCTTCCCCCCTCCTTCCTTCCCCCTCCTTCCCCCCTTTCTTTCCTTCCTCGTTTCATTTGCTTTTTTTCTTTTATTTTCTTTCCCTTCCCCTCTCTCCCTCCCTGCCTTCCTTCCTCCCCCTTCCCTTCCCTTTCTTTTTTATAATAGCCCCCCTATATCAGAATGACATAGTATCTAATTTTTGTTTTTGTTTGCTATTAGAAATAGAAAACAATCCCAACAGTTTTTCCCACTCTCTACACACACACTTAACACAGAACATGTCTGTGATCTTCAGTTCTCCAGTGGACACCAGCCAGGTGTCCTGTCATTCAGTTCCGTTCTGACTCTGTCTGGAGATGGCTTCAGGTCCCACAGGACTTCCTTTCACTTCAGATAGCCTGGTTTTCTTCACTTTTGACCAACCAGATATAAACCAGGAGTTTCCACAGCCCTTTCCGTAGGTTTAATTTGCTAGAGTGTCTCACAAAACTCAGAGATGCGCTTTACTTACAGTTGCCCGTTTGTTATAGAGCATCTGACAGGAGCTGGGAGGAGATGCATGGGAGAATGTATCGGAGAAGGGCATGGAGCTTTCATGCCTAGCACTACTACCAGGTGATACGGGCTCGCTACCCGATGTGCACAAAACCCAATCTGTGACACCTTCAAGAAGAGAAAGGCTTTATTTGCTGGCAAAGAAGGCAGGAGAGGTGACTCACATCTGCCTCCCGGATTGGGGGTCTGGTTGAAAGTATTATGGATTAGGTAGGAGAAAGCTGATGTGTGGAGACACTGGCAAGGCAAGTTTTAGTCAGAGGGGTTGGAATCAGGCCAACATTGTAAAGTGGGATTCAATTTCAGGTTTCCTTTTTGTATGAATCTCTTGCTTCTGAAAGGGCTCTGGTATTTTAAATTCCGGTTGAACTTCAGTTCTGCAGGTTATTCCTAAGTATTTTTAATATTTTTATATTATTATAAATGGTGTTACTAATTTGCTTTTCAGATTATCTACTGTTAGTGTATAGAAATGCAATTAAATGCTGCACATTGATTTTTGTATCCTGCACCTTTGATGAACTTATTTTTTCTAACAGGTATTTTTTCTCTGGAATCTTTAGGTTTTCTGTATATAAGGTCATTCTAAGATCATGTCAAAACTGTTTTTAATTTTTAGATGTTTTTGTCATGAAAAGATAATGAGTTTTTTTCAAATGCTTTTTCCATATCTACTAAGATGTCCATATGACTTTTAGCCTTTGTTCTGTTAATACGGTATCACTTTGATTGGTGTTCATGTGTTGTTATAAATGTCACTTGTTCATGATATGAAATTCTTTTAATGCACAGTTGTGTTTTGTAGTTTCATCAGGAATATTAGATAGTATTTTTTTTCCTGGCTTTGGTGTCAGTGTCACGCTGGTATTATAAAATGCATTTGGAAGTGTTCCTTCCCCTTTAATATTTTGGAAGACTTGGGGAAAGATTGGCATTAATTCTTTAACCATATTGTGGAATTCACTGGTGAAGCCATCTGGTCCAATGCTTTTCTTTGGGAGGTTTTTCATTACTGATTCAATAGCTACACTAGCTATAGATCTGCTCAGAGTTTCTTCGTTCTCCATGATTCAGTCCTGGTAGATTGTTATGTTTCTAGTAATCTATCCATTTCTTATAAGTTAACCAATTTGTTGATGTAAAATTGTCCATATCAGTTTCTATTAATAATTTTGTTTATGTGGCGTCAGTTGCAATGTCTACTATTTCATTTCTGATTTTATTTATTTGAGTGTTCCCTTTTTTAGTCAACCTAAAGTTTTCTTCAATTTGTTGATCTTTTGAAAGCAAATTCTTAGTTGGATTTTTTCTTATTGATTTTCTATTCTCTATTTCATTTCATTTCTGCTCTAATCTCTTTTTTAAAAGATTTATTTTATTTATTTGAAAGACAGAGTTACAGGGAGAGAGAGGTCTTCCATCCGCTGGTTCAACCCCCAGATGGCCGTGATGGCTGGAGCTGCGCCGAACTGAAGCAAGGAGCCAGGAGCTTTTTCCGGGTCTCCCACATGGATGCAGGGGTCCAAGGACTTGGGCCATCCTCTACTGCTCCCCCAGGCCATAGCAGAGAGCTGAATCTGAAGAGGAGCAGCTGGGACTAGAACCGGCACCCATATGGGATGGCAGCACTTCAGGCCACAGCTTTAACCCACTGCACCACAGTGCCAGCCCCTCTGCTCTAATCTAATTCCTTCCTTCCTCTGCTTCTTTTTTGTATATATTTTTTTCTTATTTTGAGGGGCAGTAGAGGGAGGGAGAAATGGAGTTGGGGGAGAGAGAGAGAGAGAGAGAGAGTGAGCTCTCATCACTGGGCATCCCACAAATGCCCATGATGGACGAGGCTAGGCCAGGACAAAACTGGGAACTGGGGATTCAATCCAAGTCTCCCACTTGGGTGGCATGGTTCCAACTACCTGCGCCATCACCACTGCCGTCCAGGATCCACGTTAGTAGGAAACTAGAATCAGAAGTTGAATTGGAACCCAATTACTCTGATGTGGGATGAAGGCATCTTAACAACCAGGCTAAATGCTTATCCCTCTTCTTTTTCAATTCAAGTGTCTATTGTTATCAAATTCCCTCTTAGTACTGCTTTAACTGCATCCCATAAATTTTGGGATGTCATATGTCCATTTACATTTGACTCAAAGTATATTCCAATTTCCCATTTTACTTCTTCTTTGTCCCATAGGTAATTGAAGAGCGTGTTAATTTACACATATTTCTAGAATCTCCAGTTTTCCTTGGAATATGTGGTTGATATGGTTTCAATTGCCTTAAGTGTGTTAAGACTTAATCTTCTGGGCCAGCGCCGCAGCTCAATAGGCTAATCCTCCGCCTGCGGCGCCAGCACCCCAGGTTCTAGTCGCGGTCGGGGCGCTGGATTCTGTCCCGGTTGCCCCTCTTCCAGTCCAGCTCTCTGCTATGGCCCGGGAGTGCAGTGGAGGTTGGTCCAAGTGCTTGGGCCCTGCACCCCATGGGAGACCAGGAGAAGCACCTGGCTCCTGCCTTCAGATCAGGCCAGCGCACCGGCCGCAGTGGCCATTGGAGGGTGAACCAACGGTAAAGGAAGGTCTTTCTCTCTGTCTCTCTCTCTCTCACTGTCCACTCTGCCTGTCTGATCTGTGTGTACCTGAGAGGAATGTGTATTCTGTTGCTGTTGAGTATGTATGCTCTGTGTATGTCTGCTGTGCACAGTTGGTCTTTAATGTTCAAGTCATTGGTTTCCTTATTGATCTTCTGTCTGGATGTTCTCTACCTTATGGAAAGTGGAGTATGGAAATCTACTTGTACTGTGTTCATCAATTTCTTCAATTCTGTCAAAGCGTGGTTCATGTATTTGGGTGTTCTGATGATGAAAGTATATAATGTTTATGTAAATTGATTTTTATTAATGTTCTTTTAAAAAAAGATTTACTTATTTATTTTTAAGGCAGAGCTACAGAGATAGATGGAGAGACAGAGAGACACAGAGAGACTCTTCCACCTGCTGGTTCACTCTCCAAATGGTCTCCAATAGCTAGGGGTGGGCC